TACCAATAACTGGTACTTATGAGTTTTAATTTCTGGAGTTCAGTGATTTCAATGTTTTTTCGATATCAGGGAAATTCAAATAGAAAAATGAGGTCGAAGAAAAATTTGAAACTTTTTTTCCTTCTTGTCTGATCTAGTTCCCAAGAGAAAGATATCAATCTATTGTTTGATAAATAAAATTTCTATAATGTTAAACTTTACTTTAATTGTGAGGAATTTCTAAGGTTAAGAGGATAAAGGATAAATCTGGATAAGAGAGGTTTAGAAATACAGATTAGTAATTCAGAAGGTTAGGGAAAAATATAACACCATTAAAGGAATAATTTAGAATGCATGATTTAAATTGAAAAGAGCTTTTTAAGAAAGGAAAGGAGAGACCTGAATAACATTCCTTAATAATTTATATTTAGTTTATAAATCAATAGAATTTAATTTGAAATAAGATTATTTATATCGAAAAGAATTTATGATATTTCTGGAAAAAAAATTTTAATAAACTTTTAATTCTTAGGGAGAATTTGAATGAGGATTTGCAAAAAATTATTAACCTATCTTTTCTAGAATAGAAATGATGAGAGATTGATATAGCAGATGGAATAGAAAAGTTCAAAAATTAAATCTAATTGCTCTAGAACCTAGATACCAAAACGATTCTAGTCCTAATGGACTTAACAATTTTGATTGATTATAGGAATCTATCAGGGAACTTATAGAAGAAGGAGCCAGAATAGCCTCTCAATGATAACTGTTTTTAGATTTTATCACTAATTATATATTATCGATTTATATAAACAAATAAAGTTCAATTTCTTGAGAGTTAGTCGAAAAATTATGAAGAAAGAGGGGAAATAGAATTTTAGGAAGCTTTAGTAAAACAAATTCAGATCTTTTAAAGCAAAAGATATATTGAACATAAAATAGTTAAATTATGCTTAATTGGATGGATATATATAATCAAAGAGATTATTATCACTGAATTAAGTACACATAGCATTGAAAGTATATAAGAGATGAGACCAAAATCATTTAGATCCACTTAGTTAAATTTATGAATTAACATATTCAAACAGAATAAGTTCGATTCTTACAATGGAACTTGATGAATTAGGTAGGCTTAAGTTGAAATTCAAATATTAGGATTGAATGATCAGAAGAAAATCCACTCTTTAATAGCAGATTAAAATATTGATTCTTAAATATACTGATTAATTTTTTAGTAAGACATAAAAGCAATATTTATTTAGCAAAGGAAAATTCTAAAGATTTTAATAACTATTTTCTTTGTAAATCTATTCTATTCATTAGATACTATTCCAAGATTAAGTGAATAAAAAGATAAACTATATTATTTTCAAATTTTAGAACCTTCTTTTATAAAGGATATTCCAAATCTTAATAATTGAAATAATTAATATTTGTGTTTATTTTTAATTCAAATTGAAGAAAAAAATTAAATTGATCGCTGAAAACCAAAACTTTGAATAAAAAAGCATTCTTTGAATTATTATATTTAATATTTTCATATTTTACTAAGAATCATTTTTTAGCATAATTCTCATTATGCAATATAATAATGAAGATTATCAAACACTCATGGCACTGATTTGAGTAATAATTTGAAAAAGAAATTCCTAATTTATCATAAACCATTCAAAAGTTAAAGAGACTGGAAGAAAATTAAATTCCCTTTGGGCAAAAGGAAGTAAGGACATAACCATTTTACTAGTTAAATATCCCTTCGTATAAAAACCATCAGAACATTCCATACTATTTTTTAAGGAGAATTGACTTCAAATATTCCTCTCCCAACAACTTATTTATACAGTATTTACTTGTAAATTGTATGTATTTGAGTCCTGAAATTTAGTTTTCAATCTTTCATTAGCTCTTCCGTTAAAATCACTTCTATTCCCTTTAAATCAATAACCTAATTTCCATTAATATATGATTTTACGTCATCAAAATTTATAATTTTTTCACAATTAATTCAGTTGCTTCTGTGAAATTTTAAAAGTTCAAAATGTTTTAACTGTTAATTCAGCAGTCTTTAGATTTTTGTATAATAAAAGCATTATAAAAATAATGATTTGCCACTCAATTATTATTTTTGAATTAAATGGAATCTAAATTTTTTCCTTAAACTGTTGAAGAACATTTAAATATATCGTAATTATATACCTTAATTTAAAAATTAAGAATTTTGTAGTAGTATTATCAAAATATTATATTTTATTAAGATTATTCTTATTTTTTTATTGGTATGATATTTTATATTCTATCATATCACATAAATTTCCTCTTTTAATCACTCTTATTCAAAAGAAGCCATTATTGATTAAATGTCTAAATTATATATTAGAAGAAGAATATTGCTGTAAATAGATCATCTATTTCACTTTCTTTGTTAAATCTCAACGTCTAAGAAAAAAAATTTCACTTAAAAACGTTTTTGGGTATTATTATAGTTTTCTATTATTTGCATTTAAATTTGAATGACAATAATAAAAATAATTTAATAATTATTTTTTATTAAAAAAAATGGGAATTTCATGTTCAAATTGCTAATATATCTTAAGAGAAATAGAGTATTCATTTTTATTAAACGAGCCATCAACAATAAGGGCAATAAAATGAAAATAATCACAAGTAAATTACAAAATAAGTATTTGATTGTGAAGTATGGAAATTGTACAGCCGAAGATGGTTTTAGAAAATTATCTAAATAATAACAATTACGAATGAAAATGAAAGAAAGTACTTTTTTGATGGTTAACTCTTAAGAATGTAAATAATTTTATTTTTAAAATAGAGAGTTAAGAAACAATTAATCTGTGGGATTTTTAAATTATACTAATTTAGAATAACTATATCATCTACATTGGTCTGGAAAATACGGGTTAATTAATTAAAAGGTAGGAAGATGGATTACAACTTGGAAAGGTGAAATTTTAAGGGATGCTGGTGGATGGTACTCTGATGATGAAAAAAAATAGGGTTTGTGGATAGAACTTACAAAAAATTATAGAAAGTATATTATCATTCAATTATTTAAAAGTAAAGCTGAAATATGCGAATCTGGATATTATATAGATGATTAAAGATATGGGATTTGGAAGTATATATATGATGAATAATTAATGTATTGATCAATTTATTTTTAATTTAGTGATGCTGGATGTTACAACCTTTAAGGCCAAAAGATTGGAAAATGGACAGAGTTGAGTGATCAATTTTCCTAATATTCTTAAGTCAAATATACCGGTGAATATATAAATGGCAAAAAGGTTGGTTTATGGGATGTTTGGTATTAAGAGTTAAATACTTATAAATATAATTTGATGTAATATATTACGAGTAAACTATTTAAGTGGTTGTGGATCATATGATGGAGATGGTAATAAATTTGGACAATGGATTGAATTGAGTGAAGGATATAAAGAATTTGAAAAAATCACTTACACTGGCCAATATAAAAGTGGTAAAAAAATTGGTAGATGGGATATTTGGTTTAATAAAGGAGAGAGTAAGAGAGAAAATACAATGTAATATATTACGAGTAAAACTATTTAAGCGGTGGAGGATTATATGATAAGAATGGTACTAAAATTGGAAAATGGATTGAAGTGAGCGATGGATTTTAATAATACCCATTAATCATTTATATTGGCCAATATAGAAACGGTAATAAAATAGGTAGATGGGATATTTTTGAACTTGGAGAAATGATGTAAAAAAATATTCAAAAATGCCTATTTAGTGGTGGTGGATAGTATGATGAGGGAGATTCTATTAAGATTGGGAGATGGATAGAGCCGAGCGATTACTTTGGTTATGGTTGGTAAACTATTTATAATGGAGAATATAAAAATGGAAAAAAAGTTGATAGATGGGATATAGAAAAAAGGGATGATAAAGGAATGACCTTTTAAAAAATGTAAAAATATTAAATAGTAAAAATTATTTAGTGGTGGTGGATCATATGATAAAGAACAAGGTTCAATTAAAATTGGGTATTGGTGTGAGTTTGTTGATCATAATAATTTTGATGAATGCATCACAACAAAAGGTGAATATAAAAATGGTAATAAAATTGGAAGATGGGAAACTTTTTGGAAATCAAAGTTTGATGAAACTGATAAATTAATGTAAATTAGCAAATTCTAATTTAGTGGTTTTGGATCTTATGATGAGCTCAGTTTTAAAAAGTTTGGAAAATGGATTGAGATTAGCGATACATTTTAGTATTTATCATAAGTCACTTATATTGGAGAATATATAAATGGTGTAAAAGTTGGTAGATGGGATATTTATTATTAAAAGAATTCTAGAGATACAAAGAATGAATTAATGTATATTTTAAATGATAAATTTAGTGGTGGTGGATCATATAATGATGAAAAACATGGAGTAATTAAAATTGGAAAATGGATTGAATTGGGCCATTCATTTAATATTAGTTCTTAAGTCACATATATTGGTGAATATAAAAGTGGTAAAAGAGTTGGCAGATGGGAAATTTGGTTTTAGTAGAATTATGGAGATGAAAAATTTCAATAAGTGTAATATCAAATAATAATCTTAGTGGTGGTGGATCATATGATGAAGAATAAGGATATATTAAAGTTGGAAGATGGATTGAGTTAATTGATCATTTCAATAAAAAATCATAAGTAGTTTTTAAGGGTGAGTATAAAAATTGTAGAAAATTTGGGAGATGGGATATTTGTTGTATAAAGAATTTTGGAGATGAATAGAATTAATTAGTGTAAATATTATATAAAAAATATAGGGGTGGAGGATAATATAGTGAATAATAAGGTTAAATTAAGTGTGGACTTTGGATCGATTTATGCTAGGGGTTTTTAAATGGTTATTAATGCATTTTAACTGGTTAATATAAAAATAGTAGAAAGGTTGGAATTTGGTAAATAACTTACAAGGGTGAAGATGAGGTGGTTATTTGGCATTCATAATTAGATCAGTTTTGAAGAATGAATATTTTAATTTATACATATCTGAATGTACTTAATGAATTAATTATGTTAAATGTGAAAAATATTTTACAGCCTATTTTTAATATATGCACTTCATAAAAATAATAATCTGGATGATTAGAATTGATGGATTAAATTCTTTACATTCTCTTTAAAATGCATTTATAAAATCAAACTCAACTGGGGGCTGTTTAGTTGCAAAAAAATAGATTTTAATTAACTATGGCACTGATACTGTTGCCAGCAAATGTATTAGTTATTCTTGTATTACAGACAATATACTCACTTGTAGATGTGATGTTTATGTCTTACTAATAATATCTTTTTTTCTTTATTGTTAATAATAGGGAAATATGCATCATCCTCACATTCATAATTTTTATTAATTTAATACTTTCATTAATATTATATTTAAGACTCATTTTTTGTTACCCAAAGAAATTTTTAATCATTAGTTACACGATTTTTACGTCCTTAATTTGCAACTGGTTGTTACACTATATTATTAGAATTTTTATGAACACTTCCACTCTTTTTCATTCATTTATTACCAACAAAGGATAGTAAGATCATGAGATCCAGAAATAAAGGTATATTAATTAATTAATTAATTTTAATTTTCCTTATTCAAAATTCCAAATTTTAATCTCATTATTATTATTATTACAAGAAAACATAATTGATCCAAGCTTTATTACAACTATACTAAAACAATACCCAATTTACTAATTAAAATCATAAATTATTGTTATTTCAATTCCTTAATCGATCATTAATTATTTCCAATTAATTTTACTACACGTCCTCCTACTCTTATGTTACCTCATATTAATTCATAATATCATTCTCTATCACTATATTATTTAATAGTTTTTAACATTTCTAATTTTCTTAAAATTATGTAAATAAATTTAATTTATTAATGATCTTATGATTCTATGATTAATTTATCAAATCTATTTAATCAATCATAGATATCGAATCAAATTAAATATGAGTAATCAGTATTTTTAATTCATCAAAGAAACTATATACAAGATTTTATTATACAAATTGTTCTATTTATTTAATCCATTCATTTTTATTTAATCCTATTATTGAACGACAGCATTTGAAGTTATTAAAGCTAATTAATGTTGATCATGAACACATTCTCAATGGATTATTTCTTTTACTCTTGATTTTTTTAATATGTTGGTGAGCTTTCTTTAAATTCAATAATTAAGTTTTTAATTCTCAATTTTTCATGCATAAAGTATATAAAGTCTTTAACTTTGCTTTTTTTCTTAATCACAAGTAATCATTAAGACTGGAGCCAAAGAATAATAAAGATGAAAGTATAATACTGTATAAACCTTTTTCATTTTTTGAAAAATTAAATCTTTTTCAAAAGAGAAGCTTAAATAACTCAGATTCATAAACATCTTAATGAAATAAATTAAGTTTTTATTATATATTAATCCTAAGCACTAAACCCAGACCAATTTACGGTTTTTTCAAAAAAACTTTCATCATGGCATTTATATTACAAAAACAAAAACATAAATCCAGGATAACCTATAGTTAAGTATTTTGAAAATAGCCACTTAATTTATTGAGTATTTGAGCAACAAAAAGTCTTCAAATATCTCAGGATCATATTTCTCAACATGATCGAAAAATTATAGGCAATTATAAATTTAACAGTTTCCATCTATTTTAATTCCTTTCAAAGTAACAAAATTTATGTAAATA